TATATTTACATTTATTTATATTTATATGTACATTTTTAAAATTTTATTAATAATATAGTTCTTAGAAGAAATTGAGTTATTCCATATGCTTCCTCATCAACGAAGAAAAGAAAATTGGTTTCCATTTGTTATGTAAGTTATTTAATTGCATGAAAAACAAAATCTGATTCCTATTACTTATAGTTTTATATTATATTAAAAGTTTCTATGAATGCCACACGGCTAAACTTCGTGAGCATATAATAGATATCCAAAATAATCGATGGTCAGGTTATGAAGAGCCTTTTATTTCAAAGGCTCTTAATGAAATTCTTCGTCTTCCTGGGGAACCGCCCTCTTTTAAACAAATTAAGAAAGATATTGAAGATCTGCGTATACGAATTGAAGATCTGCCCACTCTTAGACAAATTGAAGAGGTTATTACAAATCTTAAGGATTTGAAAGAATTAAAAATCTGAAAAGCCAATAAATAAATAGAGTTTTTGCCTTAAAATGACCTTATAGACATAGTAATTGATATGCTCTGTCAAAAGAAAAAAATTAGCAATTTTAAAGTAATATTTATATGTAAAATTATATTTTAAACAACTTGAGTTAGAGAATAAAAAGGGTATATTAGTAAAAAAAAGTTTGCTATATGCAAATATCAAAATTTTCAGTTTTTCTATATAAACTTTTTTTTATTAGATCTGTTCTGAAAAAACAATATCAGTTGAACAAATTTGCTTAAGAGGTCAAATTATACAAAATTTTTTTTAAAAATATATTAAAAAATATATTAAAAAATTTTTATGTAACCTTTATGCAATCTTTTACTTAGTAAAAATTTAAAAACAAATTTGACAAACCACAAAATATAAAATTTATGTACTAAACAAATTTATTTAAGAGGTCAGAACAGGTTATCTAAGTAAAAAAATGTTATATATAGAAAAACTAAAAATTTTGACATTAGTATATAGCAAACTTTTTTACTAATATAACTCTTTTATTTTCTAACTAAAGTTATTTAGAATATAATTTTATATATAATTATTACTTTAAAACTACTAATTATTTTGAATATTTTATATTTTCAAATTGTATTAAAATTGCAAAATTTTAATTTGGCTTAAAAATTTTATCCTCCTTTTTTTGATATATTTATTTGTAAAATTTAATTTAAAGTTTATATATAAGGAGAAAAAATATTATTACAATAAAGTTTATAAGTAAATTATATATGTTTTTGTTATAATTTCATATATAAAAAAATTAAGTATTATGTATTACTTGTCTGCTATATTAATTTATTCTAATTAAACTTATTCTTTTAGCTATTCTAGTTTTATTAATAGTAAGATTATTAAAATTTGGTTAGTAAAACCAGAAATATATTCTTTTAAAATTCTAAAACGTATATAAAAATATCATATAAATTTTATAAGATTATATTTCTGATTTTACAAAGTTAAATATTATTAGATCTAGTTTCAGAATTATAAGTAGCAAAAATAATAGATATAAAGCTATATACTAAAAACTATAAATAGAATATATAATGACAAAAACAGAAAAGTAGTATCTATATAACTACATAAGAAAGAAATTAGAATAATTATGCTATATTATTATATTGCTAGCTAAAAAAAAAGCAACAGTACTCAAAATTAAAAATATTATCGATTCTATAGATGACAATATTACATGCATATTATTAACTTAATTATTAAAAAATTAGTTATTAAAAAAATTAGTTATTAAAAACTGTTATTCAATTTTTTTATATGTTTTGATTAAAATTTAAATTTTATAAATTTAATTATTTTGAATTAAACATATAAAATATAGTTAGTTGCAGTGAAGTTAGATCAGAGTTTAAATGGGAATCTACAAGCAGATCTCAGGCACGGCATGTGATAATTATACCTAGTAATAGATATAGCGGAGTCCTAAAATAGTAATGACTAAAGTTGTGCGTGTAACCTAATGTACTCTCGTCAAATGTAACTGTCTGAAGGTAATACCCCATCAACTCATATAACTCATAAAATCCGATAAAAGCCTAAGAGGCTGGTTAGAAAAGTAAAAAAAATCAACATAGCGTGTTAGTAAAACAGCTGCTTAACATCATAATTATTGAAAAACAAAAAATATATAGCTACTATGGGTGTAATATCTGAATGTGTCACAGAGTTATACAATCACCGTGGTGACTATAATCTTGCCCAGACGGCTTTAACTTTATATATATTCGGTCTCGCTTGGCACAGTCAACTCTCTCCTTTA